ATGTAGGGTTTTAGCGCAAATAATAGAACAACGCTCAACCGGTTGTATAATAAGTGTATAATAACAACCCTATCGTTATTGTGCGACTAATATGAATTACTACGCGTCGTTTTTTGGGGCGAAATATATAAGAGCGTTAATGAGGGAAGATAATATAGTTTAAGCAAGACAACAGCAAGTAGGTGGTACCTCCGTCGTACCTGTTCCCTGCGAGACTCCTTGCGGCAGTCGGCGACACAACAGGGTTATCCCCGAATTTCCGTCAGCGAACACACTCTACACCGCTAACACAGCAAAGAAGATGGAGCCGTTTGTAATTACGGTTAAATAACGGGAACTAGATGACAAGCTACGGCAGACAAGTGCACGCCTGTCTGTGCTACGTATGTTTGACGTGTGTCATACGTAAGTGTGCATGAGTGGCACAATAGTCTCACGGATGTACTAATGGCGAGCAAGACAAGCATTAAACTAACAAGAGAAAAGAACTGTGGAGTACAACGTGCACGGCAAAACGACGGGCGATTGTTACGTACTAGAGAATGGGATAACCCTTAGCACATGTACATGTACTTTTTTGTTCTTCATACACTTTAAGTTATACGATTTAAACTTTTTAAGTTTTTTTTTATTCAAATCAATCAAATTTGATTAGTGAGTGCCCCCTTCAATGTAGAAAGTGAACCATGTGGGTTGAAAAGAGTGCAATTTTAAGTAGCAATAAGATACAATATGGCACATATAGGGATATCATTAGTTTTAAAAAACTCAATATTGACAATGGGTACCGTTAAAAAAGCTTTTGTTGTGAATACAAAGTCGCGGCTCGATGGAATTAGAGGCAACCTAAAGGAAGAATGCAACTTACTATTAACTTTCGCTTGTTTAGAGTAGAGGTCCAAAGTTTCGTCAATCTGAGTATAGCAATCGGCAAATATATTGCCTATCGAAAAATCGCACGACGGAACTCGAAACGTAAAATTCGTTCTACAGCAAGTTGAAACACTGAATTACGAAAACAGATTTTTAAAAATGAAAAAGCTTCATTTCGCAAAGCAAGCATGAAGCATCATGAAAAGGACTTCATTAAAAATGGTGAATACGGGCCGGTGTCGCTTATATCACTATAGCCTCGCTCTCCGAACACATATAGCTATCGCAAATATGTACATAAAGTTGTAGAAATCAGTCGTTTAGAAGCACGCCAATTTCGCTTTAACTTTTGACCGGCAGCCCCAGCGCAGGCTGCAACTTTCGGCGTAAAGTTCGATTGGCATAACCTATTATATGTGAACGTTTTGTGGCTCTTTATGTCAGGTGTAAAATTCAACTTCAAATCGCCGTTCCTGCATTGAGCTCAGTTGGATTTTCTTTTGTGAAACGAATACAACGGAAAGGTTTTATCACGCAACAATGCAGTAAACAGTTTCAATAGACTGCAGTGACCCTGAACGAGAACTTATTCCGTCGTTGTGTCCTAGTAGTATGCAAATAATAGCGGAATACTGTAGCTCCGTCATCGCCTTTTATTTAATAGCTATGGTATTGGGCCAGCTCGCACGTGCTGATTAACATGCACCACTCATCTCTATGAACCGGAACGCGTTTATTGGGGAAAGGCTCAATTAACAACCGATGGTAAAACTATCTAATGTAACCAATAGACTGGCAACAGCAGGTGCACAACCAGTTCATCGAAAATCGATAACGAAAAAACAACTGGTATTTGTCATCAGTTAATATAATTCACTGTGAAGAATTAATATAGGAAGTATATGACCTTTTGGAGATGTCCAAGAAAATTATATTTATCTATAAGTTTCTTTGGGAAATTCCTATATAGACCAACATCATATAGGGACAAATTCGTCAACGGAGTTTCTTATATGAGTGATCATTGAAGGATTATTAAGTAATTATTTTCCGAACTGAAAATATTACCCAGATAAGTATATAAAGACCTAGTTTGTAATTCAACTATTCTTCGTTTGTTGTCTGTATGTCCATAAGTCATACATATCGGCTCTAAATTAAGCTCATTCTTGTGTAATAGAAATATAAGTTTTTTTTTATTCAATCACGTCTGTTGTGTAGTGTAGAGCTATGTACCTTTATTCAATGTAATGATAAAGGTGTTATAAATTAGTTCTATTAAGTAAATATATAGATATCATACTATAATTTAGTTAAACGTTTGCTAGTCACATAAAAATTAAGCATAGAAAATAAGTAAAATAGATGTCATAAAATATATAATTGACTCATTTATAGCTTTTCAGATAGATGTTTGGTTTACTCATGCAGCGGTAGTGTGACACCTGTATGATGACAACGATTTCACAATTGTACATATCACAGGACACAATAACTTCAAGTAGCGGTCTTAGTATCCGCAGTGTCCATCAGCTACTTTGTCCGTTGGAAACAGGACCGAAATATCTATACTTATAGGCAAATTCTTCAACAGCGAGTACCGATTCCTTGGAGTGCGGTACTACGTCCTTTCAATGATGTTTCTGATTCAGATAAAATGCACCGTAGCAAGATTTTATTCTGTTTATGTATTTAGTAACAAATCTATGCCACATCACTTTGCTTAGAACCAAATGCTTACTCGCAGATAGAGAGACTGAGGCGAGCTGAGTATAAATTAACCCAAGGGTGCCTTTTCTCTAGCATATACATATATATATGTAAAATCCGCCAATGTTATATAAATACTGTACAATTTGTACGAATAAGGGAAGTTAGTTTTCCATTTATGAAGTTTTGAAGTGAAATCGTCTAAGCCCTTGGTTAAGTATTTTCTTGGTTAAGTAAGGCATCGCGATCGCTCATATTCTTTTCTTTAATGACTAATTTCGTACGATATAGTGATCCATCTTGATGTTTCAGCGCATGCCTTAGCGTTGTATCCATACTTAAACTACGTTGCATTACATTATAATATAAATGACAACCAGTAACGCTTTAAAGTTGAGTTTTATTTTTGCCGGACCCAAGTACACCAAACATCTTTCCTATTTAATAATCGTTCATCATATATATATATATATATATATATATATATATATATATATATATTTACATGTGCACATCAACTGGGTAGAACCGAGCTGACTAAAAATGAATCACAAACAATAAACACTATTACCATACTTGAGTGAATATTGGGACATTCTAGTTAATAACGACACAGCGAACAAATGTTTCAAAATCGTCTGCTTTGTAGGCGTTTTTCCTTGGTAAACACAACAACTGAAAGAGTCTGCGATGCCTGTGCGAGGAGTCACAGTTAAAGTTGTTCCTACCGAGCTGTCGCAAAGGAAATATATCACCGTTATATCCTAAATTAAACTAGGTGCCATAAGAATCGCCGTGTCCTTTCGCGTCCAGATGGCTAGTCGCAGTATGATGTACATATATCGTATACTGTTGTATATAGATGCTGTTGTAATTATTACGCGACCGCCAAGGCGATAGCACGGAATATATTCTAATAACATTCATTTTTGACTCAATCATTACTTTTTTCTTGACCTTATAGACCTCTCTATATCGTGCTCAACCAAGTTCTCCCATAGCGCGCCGTAATTACAAAGAAAATTTAAAGCCATTTTTACTATTAATGTTATTATTATTACTTAAGTTATTGTTATTATATGTTTACATATGTGTATGCTAGATATCCTTCTATATTTTTCACTTTCACTCTGAAAGCACGACCGTCGTAGATTTCCGCTTTCGTTCATTCCGCCACGCCCTATAATGAACACGATAACCACAAAAAAAGCACCGACCGCCCAACCATTTTGTTTAACAACAAGATGGCGTTAGTCGCAAATAGAGTCATCATCAATAGCAGAACTTCAATGTAATTTTCTCTTCAGCTTCCTAACATTATTATTATTATTATTTTACGATTTCATCATCGTTCCACTCATAAAATTATCGATATTCTATTATCCAATGCTTCCCCCATATAGCTCGTTCTGTACGGATGCTCTCCATAGCGTATCATGAAAAAGAATGATAACTACGTGGGCAGAATTGATGACGCCGAGTGTAATCGGTCCACACAATTAAGGCGACCTCTTTCATCGTTCGAATGCCTCATTACCGAGAATACATGCATATGTTTGGTGCTACAGAAGAATCTCTAATTTACTTTAAAAACTCTAACGAATCCTACAGTGTTTCTTAGTTGTTTAGGTAATTTTTTTTTGATCAGCTCTCTCCCATTCAGTTTCGCTTTTTTCTCTCTCTTAATTCGTTGAAACATCACCCCCACCATTCCATAGACGTTACGTATTGTAGTTGTTCCTTCACCATTATAGCCACCTCAAATTCGTTATAGCAGATGTAAACATGTCGTATTCATTCAGCGTATTTTTATCGTATATTCGCGTAATTATATATACCTTATTACTGTATTGTTGTTATATTTGTTTCATTATTGTCACTCTCAAAGTATTGAAACTGTTTCTTTGATATTGCTCCCTACGTACTGTTCTGGTAAGTAGATAGTATTTATTTCGCCTCTTTTTCTGCCGTTTTGTTTGCATTGTGTATGTTATGTTCCCTTCCGCAGGTTAGACCCTCTTTCTCCTAAATAAACGAACTGGAAAGCTATATATATATATATATATATATATATATATATATATATATATATATATATATACAGTTCGTTTATTCTGTCTGCAACCTACCTGTTGCATGTCAGCATAAATTATTTTTAGTCTATGTAGAATCGGGTCTTTCGGAGAAACGGTACTCAGCTACATGGTATTACAATCAGACCGCACAGCCTGGCTAATGAGATTGTAGAAGTTTTTATTCTACATCCAGAAATAATGTTTCGACTCTTAAGGGACTCTATGACGACGGTTTGGCTGTTAATTTGCAAGCATCAATATGGCGAAAAAAAACACAAGAAACCTTGACTCTCCAATTAAAATGCACCGTATCAAAAGTCAATACAATGGTAACAGTGTTCATTGCTGCCGCTGGATTATTGATCAAGCCCGCCTATTCATTGATCAAGCCAGGATTAACTTGCAAATATAGTTTTATTTATTAGTTAGTCGTTGTCCATTTAGTTTTACCGTTATCCTTTGTATTGTTGCTTAGCACATTCATACAGCGCACACATTGTTTTCGTGGATATATCATGTATATATACATACGTGTCTAATTCGAACACCTAGATCTTAAACGCTAGCATATCAATCGTTACGAACTAGCGTCAGCGTCTAATAATTGATGTTACCTATAACTCGTTATTATTGTCAAATAGATAGAATTTATGATTTTGACCCAGGAAAGAAGGAAGCTTGGGTTGTCACTCGATATTTCCCGAAAAACTATCTTCATTATTATTTGATTACCAATGGAAACGTGATTAGGAATTTTATCAAAGGGATACACACCCATTTTGAGTTCGTATCACTCTGCGTTGATTACTGAATGTATTCAGACGTTCGGTGAAATCATAATCATATATATATATATATATATATATATATATATATATATATATATATACATATATGGTATTTTATAAACCTAGATTTTCCTCTTCTTTTTCCAGACGCTTATCGTCGTTAAGAGTAGGCGTGTGCCATTGTAGATAAAAAATATTAGATGCGCTGATTAGCTGTCTTTAATCTCCCTAAATATACATTCAAGGCTTTCGTCTTTATTCAATTCGATCTTAAAACATAGCGTCCTTTTCTCCGTCATACCGTTGTGGGCGGAATCTATCGTCAAAAGCCAACAATTGTGAACAAGCGTCTCACAGCCTCATTAAACAGCTGATGATATTTTTCGGATGTTAATTTGCCTAATCCTCAAAAAAACTTGCTTGCCCACAGCTTAAATCCATTTGCTTTTGTTCAATGCATGGTGATTTGTTATGATTGCTAAAGGAATTTTGTTTTCCACTTGGTTAGGTCATATGTTTACAAAAACCTTTTTTTTTTCATTGTAGTTTTCCTTGAGTCCACGTTATACAGATGTTATACAAATAGCTTAAGTGTGGGTGCATTTATTATTTGCGAAAAACCTATGGTTGGCCATACTTTGACGATAATATTTTAACCCATTTATAAATGCTTTACTATTAACAATAGCCCCTTGTAAACATATGCCCACCACACAACGCCAACGTATGTATACCGCCAACGTTTTTTGTAACGCTACGTACGTACTGCTGTAACTATATAATCAATAGCATTGGGCTGTGTACGGCTTGCTACATGAGGTCTCGCTGCCACTCTCGTGTCTTGCCGTTCTTACAACTCTCGTTTCCATGATCGTTTATAGTTATAACGAGACTATCAGTTATATATGTATCTTCGCGTCACTCATACCATTCACCCACTTCACATCCAATTATCTCATATCCTCAAGCATGTAGCATCGTGATAATCTTCGCCGCGTTAAAACGATCCTTCTTAGCGCAATGGAGTTACGTGAAAAGTAATGCGAAAATTTATAATTAAAAACAATAATAATATAATAAAACGATTGATAACGATAATGCCTTTTCTACAAGATGCAACTTGTAGAACATCACAGCCTTGAATCGATCATGAAACCCTGTGGACATTGTTTGAGCCCTTAGACGTTTTTCTCCCTATTATGTGTATTCCGATTACATATGTGTCGACCTCGTATGTCATGAAAATCGTGTGTTTGCTCTAAATACTTCGAGAGTGTCTCTATTCAACCGAAATATAAATACTCACCTGCGATGTCACTACATCACCATGTCAGGTTAAGCCTCATGTCAGAAAAGGGATCGATTTCAAAACAATACCAAGATGTACTATGTTTACTCCTTATTAACGTTGTTTTTCGTAAGCTTGAGAATCTTCATTTATTTGTTTTTCTCCTATGATGGTCCTGGTAATCTTGTGTTGGTCGATCTTCTCTTGCCGCTGTCCCGAGCAGGACGCCTTCCCACACTCTTCAGCTTCGCAAGCCAATTGAACAACAGCGGGTACAGATCGCAAAGCCTCAGTTTTCGTCCTCCTGATTAGTGTTGGCGTGTTTCTCAATATAGACATTAACAAAATATATAACCATTTTTTTTTGCACAACACAGACCAAGTGTTGCTTCTACAAATCAACCTAAATTGGAAATGAGGTCGACGTTCACAGAAGAGATTACACGTTCTGCCATTATTTTGTGTGTGTGTGTATTATTCATGACTAAGAGAAACCGACAGCTTTCACGACAATTGTTTATAGTAACAGTCATGGGTCACGCTCCTGTTAAGGAAGTGACGGCAGTCGTTTTACTAGATGGGTTCGTCCAAATCAATCAGGATGGTACCTAGAGAGTTATTCATGATGTTTTGAGATATGCGCATTGGCCAGCTCGACACGGAATGCTGATCGATTGTTTCGTTATAACATGCATTTCGTTAAGCAGAGGAAAAGCTCTGACGTGCTTTATTTTATGATACTTAGTTTGTAAAACAATTCAACCGAAGAAGCTTTGAAAGTATGAGTTAGGATGTTTGCCTCAAGCATTGCTTCAAAAAAGCGCCCTCCGGTAGTGTGGTATATTATTATTATACAACAAAAAAGGCGTTCATTTACGTACGCATTATCAAATCGATATCTTGGAGTATTTAGACGATTTTGAGTACAATGAAATGTCATGCAAACAATGAAGCTTAAGGAACGAGTTACGTTCGAGCGATTCCACTGAGCCTCTCGCATTTTTTCCGTCTCTCCGCACACAGGAATTTATGTGCTCAGAATAATCAAATGAGTATATTATAAAATTATGGCTTCTACTAACAGCGGATCGGCTTAAAATGGATTAAAACTAATAACATACTTATGCAGGGCGATAAGCTTTACAGATTTTAGTCGACTTCAATTCCTTCGATGTTTATTGGGCGAAGTTTTAAGTTTTCTTCTCGACACGTTCGTTTTCCATTTGTGTATCCTTGTTCATGCCAGCTGAATCATAATGTTTAGGCAGAATTTCATTCAAATATCTTCATATTATAATTGATACAGGGCCAAGTTTTTTTCTTATAGACCTTTGATATATTTACTTTGTTTTTTTGCCCCTTCTGTTTTGAGTCATGTGGATTTTTCTCGCCAAAATTCTTTCAAAATCTACCTGCGTAAACATTCATTCATAACTTCGTTTTTCTACATGCAAAGCGTGTTTTTTTTATTCACAATCTGCAGTGGCGGTACGCCCTGTACTAACAAAGTACTTGCGGTACGAAGGCGGACTTGGATGTATTTACTGAATCGCGGAACGAGAATTAAACCCGCTTATTCGTTTAGCAGCGATAGCGAAATCGTGATCAATTTCGGAAAAGAGTACCAACGCGTTCCAACTACTTCGAAGTTTGAAAATGGCGAGTAATGCACAGGTTTAAAATTGTTGTGCACAGTGTTTCTCATATCGTCTATCTCGAGCCATCGTGTCAAAAGGAGTGTGGGTGAAGTTACGTCAAGGTAAGCCGGTATACAGATATGAAGTGCGTGGAAGAAAGGTGGGCCGTGCTAAGGACGGGACACGGCTGACATCAACGAACTACAGCATTACATGTCATCACCGCCGGATTGCGCCGTTTCACTAGCTTCTTCGGTATGGGCCGGATGGTGACCCTGGTGATGGGTCAAATGGTGGGGGCTTTCCTCGGCCAATTTGCTCTGCGAGATCGAGGCCTTGCGCTGCTGCAGATGGATACTGTCCACTGTGGGCACAGGTGGAAACGCTGGCGCCGCCTGGAAGGGTTCGAAATGGAAGTGATCCTTTCCTTTTAGCTGAAGCAAATACTTCGTGGTAATAGTGTTGTAGATCACGCAATGGTAAAATAATCTGAGTTAAAAAGCGGGCTTAGACACACTTCATTTTGCGCTGCTCCAAATTGGCCCTCTGAAATAATATTTAAGGATAGTAGTACAGAACGTACACTTAAAACGTTCATTCAAATAATAAACAAGGCTCACTGGGTTGGAACGACTGACTTTTGTAGGCTATACGATACGAAGAGAAATGCAGATTTCAAATGGCTCGTTTTTTGTGATGACGCTTACAAAAAGACAGTTACTTAAGAAAACCCTTTATACAAAGGATAACTTACAGGGGACGCCTGGGGTGATTGTGGGGTAGGCGCCAACGGCGAAGGCTGTGCTAGAAGACGATTTCGCCCCTGCATGGCCATGTTGTAGTCTCCGCTGTCGAAATATTTTTGCTGTAATATAAGTACGTTTTATCAGACACAACAGACAAGCGTAAGTTAGTGATGGCTATAGCATAATATGTTCGACAAAAGATAATGCGTTAATTACCTATCCTACTCAGAGCGGCTTCTACATATAAACCTGATCCCTCCTGATCACGAAGTCGACGCCAAACAGTTTTACTTTTTTCTTCAGTTAATAGGATCACTCCGCACGTTTTTTAATTTGATTGGATTGATTAATAATGAAACTGGCCAGTAACTGAATTTCGGTTCAATTAATGATCATCATTGATTTTATTTAATGATCATCTTCGTTCTACAGAGGCAATTTTTAAATTGGAAAATTAATTTTTAATATAATTTAAAATGTGGTACCTTTTTTTTAATTACAAAAAGTATGCATGCTAAGAACAGTCAAGTAGACTAACCAGGATTCCTAGAGTGACATCGATCGGAAATATGAGCCTACCAAAGAAATTTTGTTACCACACTTTGTTACGAAGTTGGACTTTGTTAGACGCTTGCGTTGACTTGCGATCTGCTTATGTTTATAGAAAAGATACCTACCCCACGATTAAGTTTCTTCTGGAGAAAATTTGAAGGTTTGTTGTGCTGCGGATACTTCTGCATCAACTTGGTCTCCTCGTGTTTCTCGGCCTCAGCCAGTTTCAACTGAAAATCGAAAGAAACCACACGGATCGTGACGCAGGAATGCAAAACTCGGCGTCAAATATGGTACTATCTAATATATATTGTCTATAATTTTAAGTTTAAAAAATCGATCATAATCGACCCCAGCTCTTAGTTTTTTTCAAGCCTCAAACCTGACGCGATATGCGACGTCCTTGAAAAAAGTGAACAAATTGCAACTGACGCATAAGGAAACCCATATTAAACAAACGAAGCACAAGACGAGGTCCTTCCTGACAACCGGCATGAGACCACTGAACTTACGTTATGTTGCTCATTTCGGAGAATTTTCGTACGACGCCGGCAAAAATCGGCGGAACTAATGTATTTTATTAAAAGAATTTCTGTAATAATAAAAGAATATTTATTTTAACTTCATAAGTCGAAATCACATAAGAACCGGCTTCTGTCACATGATCTCCATCGCCGATACTAACATGAAACCTCTACTACCTGAAGCTGTTTTAGGTATTGAAATTCATATGAACTCCCCCTCACTTCCTAACCAGAAACCGAATTTGACGCCGGATTCGCTGACGCAGCAGTATCGACAGACTACTACGCTGTGTCATTATGTTGAATATTATTCTGTCGATTCAAATCCAACCCAGGATAAATGGGACTGCTCTTCAATGCATTTATCCCAATCGAGTTTCTTAACAACCTGTTGTTAGAATAAATAAGCCGTCGTAATATCCTACTTAAACAAATGTTGAACTATGCGGTGCAAAAGCCATCTTGGTGATGCGCTCCCCGAAAGCGGAATATTTCTTCTGGACGAGAGGTAAACGGCTCTACATCAGTCCCATATAAAATGGAAAAAGTTCAATGGTAGAAGAAATGCGAGGGAGGGAAGCTTTATATGAACTTGGCGAAAATTGCTGCCTGGCCAAGAAAGAATCGATTATTCAAAAGAATATATAAATTATTTTCACAAAAAAGACCTTTGCGCGACTATAATAAAATCGAAAATTTAGCGATTTTCTAGGAAATTATTGTAGATTATGATGCAGCGGTAACGTGACAATAGCTACTTTGGTAAAACGGATTCCATTTCGCATCAAAGTAAAAAACCAAAGTTTTTTGGTACTGATGCACTCATGTCTTGCTAATTAATTACTTATACTGTATATGTAAAGTATATGTGAAAAAGCTCAGTATATGTAAATTGCGATTTAAACTACACAAGAAAGGTATCAATTACAGTGTTCATTAATTAACCAATTATGTAATTAAAGTGTCACAGCAAATAAATGTAAAAAAAATATTTCAGCTGTGGAGCGTATATAAAATTATGATTGTTGAAGGTAACCGGCGCCAGAGGGAATTGAGGTTATAAACGTCTGCCGCTAAATTTAGCGTAGTTTGAAACTGCACGAATTAACTTTGATCTAGAATTAGAGCCTACTGGCACGGCTGATATCGACGTTCGGAAAATGGACTGTTGTTAGTTTAGCTTCGATTCTACTGCCTCAGCTAAGCATTGCTTTAGGCAACTGAACCTTTAAGGGGAACCACTCCCGGTTTTATACCTAAATCAACTTTATGCGTGCATGAGTTTAGAAGAAAACTACGTTATTATATCGTACCATCAGGAGAACAGGCGTTCATCATGTAACCTGATGCAACCGATTAAGCCATATGGCCATAATACCAGACAAGACTTGGCTCGATCGGAAAAACATTAGTCACATCAATTTTCGAACCTGATCCTACTCCCGTATTAGCCTAAAAATCTTGAACCCCTTCCTGTTTCGTACAGTGATACCAGAACTAGGCGCCCACATTCGATGCTTAAGGAATCGATAAAAGGTCTAAGGCAGTTTGAAATATACGTAAAATACCTTTTTCCAAGAACCAATGGTGCCTCAGGTTAGTTGTTTCCTCAATCATTTCGTCCATTATAGTCTTAAGGAAACCTTGCTTGCAGCACTTGATTCACTTGCCTTTGGTACATACGGTATGATAGTCGCACCACCTAAGTGTCCTATGTGGTACCACTTGAATATTGTTGTTTGTTAGAGTAAGCGCTAATAGAACATTCTCTGTTAATGTTTGCCTTTGCTTAAAGACGTTCAGCCTTAGTACTTTCTTCGTAAAACACCTGAAGTCGATTTCAGTATTCAAAAAGAAGCATATCTAATATTCTGTTGTAGCTGGCCAGCCGCACGACTAAACATCTGTACTTCTAGTAAAAGAAATGAAATGTTTAAGCATGCGTTTCTGGATATAGATCAACATAACATTATGGAAAGTCGACTTGTTATTGTTCTGAATGTTTACAGACCTCTACTATGTTTCTACGAACGGTTTTCAGAAAACGCTAGCATTCGAAACAGGCGTAAGTAAATAAAGATTTTGAATTGTACTTTCAATTTTGCTCTAGCTAAACACTGTCTCATGCGCCTGGCTTTATCTTAAGCTGAATACATTTAATTTCCCACCTACATCCATTCATATAGTAAACAACTGCAAAGGCAAACGCCGTTTCGAGCATGGTACTTTGACTAAGATGTTGACTTTCTTCGCGACTGAAGAGAATTCTACCACTCAATCTGCATGAGCTTGCCGTGCCCTTACGATCGCTGTATTGTTGTCGCCACCCTTAACCTCTAAGCGTTCCGGCTTAGCAACGACTCTTGATGAGGAAAATTGAGGTTGTGGGTAGACTGAGGTTTCCTTCTCGCTGGTGTAACCACCGGCACCTAACGGCGGTTCTTGACGTAAAACTCGTGTTAGGACAATTCACTAATGTAGTTTAGCCTTTACTGAGATGGTATCTCTGACGCACAGCGAAGACATTTGACTCTGCAGTCCTATCAGGTGACAAATCAGTTATTGAGACAACGCGAGTGGCAGATGAGCATGGCTCGACATGGTGTGAAGTCTGTCTGGAGAGGAATTTGAGTAAAGGACAGACAAAAAAGCGACCACCGTATCGCCGCAATATAGATAAACCTTACAGTTCGAAAAATGCTATTTAAGGCTCAATGATAATCGTCTGCTTACATTAGGCCATTATCGAGGTTTATGACTGCGTTCCAGCGATGTTTAAAATTATTTTCTTAGCTGACCATGTGCTTAACTGAATCAGATCGTTTTAGCTATCGATGCAGTTGAAAGCAGTAACTACCTTATCGCTAGTTTTTGCGGACAACAACAATAACACAATAAATAAACTAATGTCAGAGCTTGGCAGTCTGTACAGTATTTATTGTATTTATTGTCGAGCAAGTGCAGGAAGCAGTTTGACGGGGATTATTACCATTTAGTAACGGGTCACGGACTGTTTGCGTTAAGGACTTGAATAATACCTGTACTATAGGTCGGTAAATTTCTTATTAGGCAACCAAATAACAAAAAAGAAAATATGTGCAGTGAATATTGTACTAAACAACTGGCTAGCAATGAATCTCGTATCGTCGTGATGCATACTGAACTTTGGGAGCAACCTAGGTCCGAAATCAACGACAGCAGTACTCAATGAGAAACTCCAAACATATAAACAGATCTCGTAAGCGAATATTGTACATATGCGAAGAAAGCATACTCATCATATGGATCAGAATCTTTCTTTTCTTGAAGTATAATCGTTCGCACGCTTACACCTTTTGATGCGGAAAACCCTTGGGGGACCGCTTTTGAACTTGTATAGATAATGTTGTGCTAAGTATCGTAGTTGTATTTTTCGGTGTACTGTTTGGGTACTCGTATCGGAAAGCTACAAGTAACCAGTTTTATGTGTCTATGTGTGTACCTGTGGTAGAAGTATTTATACCGTGTTGCCCACAGCGGCAATACTATGAACAAAATAGTTGCGACAGTATCTAGTTTTGACTGTAAGAGATGAATCAATAGCCATACTATAGCGAGATTTGAAGAATTCTCAATCAACCATACGTAACTTTGCACGTACGTAACAGTTTTTTTCGATGCATATCTTGATTTGCACTCAGGTTGCATTCGAACTTCCAGTCGACAGCGTCGTCATAATTGATAAAAGGCTTGCGCTTCTTGTAGGCGTTTCAATATTGCCATCAACTGGTCAGAGTATTCGCTTCCCCTGGCCATCAACGACGATCCACCAAAGCGGTCCCTTACGAAGATCTGTAACACGTCATAGAGCGACCCGATATCCATAGATCCGACCTGTCCGCGCCGACTGCGTTACTTTTGTAATCTGTACCTTCTGTCTCCGTTAAGAATTGTCCCTTCGAACATAAAATGTTTTGTGTTTCACGTCTAGTATTACAGTTTTAGTTAAGCACTTCTTCTTCAGACGGCTAGCCCCGAGCATCACAAAACGAGTCGTATTCTTACACCCGGTTTCAAACCTCACTCCATGCCTCGAAGCTTACTACTTAAATTCCCGTTTAAACCTAATTCTCTGGTTCGTCCGCTGTAGCAGAGAGGTGTTCGGAGTAGGAACATAGCCCTGAACAACCACTTTGGACATCTACTCAATTCTCTTCCATTGCTTGCGTCTCTAACCTCGTAAGCATTTGCAGTTTGCTACTAACTCGCAGCGTTCACAGAAGCATCGCTTGTTGCCAGCTGTAATTGCAAGCTAACAAATCCGACTGTATCTCGTAGTATCAGCAGGCTTTATCAAGCGCAATTCTCACCGCCAAGAGTACCTCCAAACTGTAGAGGAATATCGCAACCAATGGGAGATCTATTTAAGCCCTAGCCTGCTATGAGGCCTACACAACCAAAAGAAAAATTGCAATTACCCAACCTTTTAGCCTTCCATTCCTCAATAAGAACACTTACACCTCTCAAAAGCAACTGCTGGACGACCGCCGTTGCCGCCTAGTTAGCGGTACGAACGTTAGTCGAGGGGGCAATGACGTCTGCTTGACGATCCAGCCCCGATTTTTTTTTAACAAGATCCCGCTTCAAGTCTTATATCGATAGCAAAAGTTCTATTACCATACATAAAGAGAGATGTATAGCAATATTCGATAATAAAGTACATGATGACATACATTTATAAGTATACGTATTTATAATATATAACGAGAGACCGTTGTACACATTTACATATGTAATTATCTTGTTGATAATGCCACATAAATGTTCTTCAGCATGCTCGTGCCGATAACAACAAGTAATCGTCGAAAGGTACACAAGCTCTCGAAGCACCTACCTTGTCAGCTTCCATTGTGATATCGATAGAGATGCCCAGGCTCACTTTCAGAAGTGTACACACGCGCCCCCCAGACGTCTCAATGCGCTGGCGATCTCGAACACGAGCACGAAAAATCACGACTATTGCTGCGGAACGGAAACAGCGAAAGACCAAGTTTGAAGGCCAAACTTCTTCAGATTTTCTCTGTTATTTCAGTGGGGCTCCGTCGATCAACACGGTCGATCTCGACGATTCACGCATGGAACACCATGCGATACCACTCGACCTGATCTGGCAAATGCAACAACACAGACTGATTTGATGGAATCTTTCTGTTGTTACGGGGGCTGTTACATGGTAAAAGCGCTGCCTAGGTTTTTAGTAATCTTTCCAAGTGATCACTTATGCAATAATAAATATAATTTCCGGTACTGTTCGCTAATATGGAAATATCAGCCGAGTACACAATAGTGCCTCGGTCACTGGCCAGACCAACATAAACAACGGCTATGGTAACTAATCAATATAATAATCAAATTAGCGGTTAATGTTGTTGTTTGTTGTTGCTGCTATCGTCACCCCGTGTCGTCTTTGTTGTCGAAGACAAGGAAAGCCTCTTGTATAACTGTTGCGTCGCCAGCACGAACGATAACCTACCGAAGCTAATCGAACCGAGAAAAAGCAAATCTGTACTGAAACTCTCCAATTGGTATAACGGTATGATGTGTTGCTGCCATACTCAGACAAATGATCGACCTACCTTCCCGTTCTCAGCGCTCTTGACGGCCACTGAATGATCATCTATACGTACACAGGCCGTCAGCAAGCACTGCCCGTTGACACAAGACACTTCTCGTCCGCTTTGGCTGCAGTCTTCGTCGCTGTTGATGTGTTAATGCGCTGTTACCGTCTCCGTGTATCTCTTCTTCTCGACACGGACGCACGGACACAAACAGGCACACACACATACACATACACTCAGACATGCACAAACGCCGAGAAACTTCAAGTCAGTCAATCCTTGCAATTGACGATATCAGCCAAAAAACCATTAGAGAAGCCTCTTAATGGGACCGCAATTGTTATTTCTGCCGCTGCTGCTGCTGCTACAACTGCCTCCATTAAAATGACGATTGTAGCAACAACAACAACAACAATATCGTCGCCGCCAACAGCACTCTTAGTACACAGGAGGACAGCACCCACTACGCACACATCCTAACAAGAGGACGGCAGGCAAACCAGTATGCGAGAGAAACAGAGCGATTTGCTCGGCCTAACAAACGGTGTCGCTTCTATCAAAATGAGCAGACAACAACGCCACTGTATAAGGACACAATCGCAGCGCCTTGTTGATTATGTGTTTGCGGTCCTATCCAAAAAAAAAAAACTTTGAGGACGATGAAGTCGGCCAGCAAAACACAGAGGGCACGATCAAATTCACTAAAAATACGGATGGACGCTTGAAGGTAGGCTTTATAGCAGACAGCAACCAGCAATGGAGAGGGCAAGCATCGGGGAAAGAGGTAAGCTACAAAAAAGAATGAAGTAAATAATAATGTAGTCGCGAACGACGACAAGGGTCATAAAAGCAGATAGTAGTGGGGGCAGCGGCCTTCTCGTCGCTTAGCAGAATTTGCAGAGAGGAAATGGAGCAGGGCTGTCATCCGTAGCCAAGGTAACCGTATACTACTAATTCGTCTGCTTTATCGCTTCGACTGTTGTTTACCAGTATTGGCTCGAGCCGTTAGCCTTCTCGATCTTTAGCAACAGAAGGTAGAGGAACGAAGTAAGATGGAAAAGGCGTGTGTTTCTGGAAGATGGGGAGAAGGATTGCAGGCAGCAAAAGAGAAGCTTTTTGTTTTCTTTGTTCGCTATTGAACTAAGCGATATTGTTAGTGCCTCTGTTTACGATATAGCTTTGTTTCTACTTAAATGTGTTGCTATACTATAATGTGTTGCTACTGACGTTGTCTACAACTGGAATAAGGTAGAGCAAAACCAGAATTGAGCCTAGGCTCCTTTGGCTAGGTGGGAACGGAATCGTTGGAATCAGAGCTATTCAAGAAACCGTAAGCCGCGGATGGATCTCTCTCATGAGAGTGGCAGTGGGCCTTGTATGATCATACGGCTCATTATTCAGAGATGGAAGCGGTGGGAGGCTGTTACTTGCAACGATAAATAGTTTTAAATATGGAGTAGTACTTAGAGCGGGACTACTTGACAGTTTTACAATATCGTAACACTGTCTAAAGGGACCTCAGAGTCACTCGACTAATGTGAGGGCCAACCCAGCACAAAAATATTAGTACATTGATACTGAATCATCTAAAAGCGTATCATCCTTTCGGAATCATCTCGGAACCGGGTTCATCGATTTCGTTGAATTTTGCTTTAGCGTACAGCTCTGTTGATTTATCTCTCAAAAATATAATTATTTATGGTGTAGGGGCGAGAGTGGCGCCATTTCGTTCTCGTCGACTGTTGAAAATTAGGTACCAAAATGGTTGCGTTGGGGGGCATTTGTACACATTGTAGGTTCACTTGTTTACCCATGTCATATGTAAGATGTCAAAATGTTTGTGAACCATAAGAACAGCTACCAGATACCGCTTTCTCATAAGAACTATAACGTTGCTGAAAATGAGTATAGCTTTTTTAGACGCTATTGGTTAGTTTATGATATATAATTTAAGAAATTCTGTACCATTTTTTCACTGAAAAAAACACACCTTTTTATGCTACTAATCGGATATAATTATGTCAAATAATTAAAACGCACTATTGAGTATTATTTTATGATTTCATTTTAAAGGACTTGAAACTTCAGAGAGCATTGTCTAGGTGTACGTTGTTGTTACAACTTACGTAATTGAAGTAAAATTCGTATGGATACACGAGACTTACTAAAAGTATGATTAATTTATAATTATAGAGATATAAAAATAAAGTCAATTATTGTTTTGCAGTTTACATTTTTATTTATATACACAACCTGTAGAGTACAATCTATATATTGTTGGCAAGAATTGAAACTGCAATCTTTAGTCTCTTCTAATTCGAGACTTATTGATCCAAACTACCGAATTCCCTAGTCTGAGTGATTCGAAATTTGTGTCCAATATTAACATGGCTTCCGACGGCTGGAATTTCCCACCATGATACAAAGTGGGTCTACGCCCCCTTTCGAACGTTTCAGTTTACATTTCGTTATACTTAGTGGACGGACACATTGCATCATCATGAGGACGCTTTTCCCTAGTCTACCAATTCGTTTTAAATAGTTTTATGCAGCCATAAAAGCTTGATAACGAAGTAAACCGACTCTTTTCTGCAAATCTGATGCTTATCTTAGACTTGGCCAAAGTGGGCTAAAGTTTTATGATCTCTAATAAGATATAACTTGTGAAAAAATCGGAGTAGATCCCTTCCCGTGCTTTTTTGATGTACGCACCCTTCAATAGTAGCCCTACAAATAGATTATTATAAAATGAGAAATACAAACGTAATTTTCGAATTTGTTTTGCAACTCTTAAAGAACTGTTGCTCATACAATACATATACGCAGTGTTCTATTCTAAATTAGGTATTATTTCAACTTGTTTTAGTGTGCTTTACTTAATTAACTTGTGAAATTTTTCCTTTTATGTTCATTCATTGATTTCTTCGCCATTTGTCGAATCGCTTTTTTTCGGCCAAGGGGCGACGTATGTGCGAAGCAGGAAAGCGAGGCGATAATTTTAGTTCAAGTAGTTGGGGTATAACAATTATTATTAAAAAAAATTTAGTCGTTTCTCTTATAATGACAGAGGCTGAAATTTTGGTACAACAATAGAATTAAAGTTTTTTGTTGTCATACTATTGTCTGCGCAGCGATAGGTTATGTCATTAGAAGTTGCAATAAAGTACTGAAGGTTAGAGAATATTCAATTACGTGTATTAATCGATTAACGCCAAATTTATATTATTTGATCATTCTCATCTTCTAAATTAAGATAATGAGCTAAGGGTTAGATGGACATTGGCTGAATTTGGCTCAAAAACAATGTATGCACATTCCTTAGTTATTTTATGCTTAGCGAGATATTGAAATAATAACTAAACTTTTCCAAGTGTTTATGTGTTACATAGGTATTTATGTCATACAGAGGTCAGTTGCAATAAACTTGTTCACTCGAAACCGATCTAATCCGTCGTACTTTATTTGTATAATAATTTATTTCGAGGTCATTTATATAGGCAACCCTACCGGATAGTGATTTAATAGAAAGGTATCTAATAACATCGACTCACTAAAAGTGGGCAGAAGTTAACTCATTTCAAGATACTTCGATTTTCAGCATACTATCGAGGGTCAGTAAAGTCAATATTAAGGCATTTCCCTTCAATAAATTCTATTATACTCCGTTATTCGTATTATATTTAGATAATCTTCTATTTATATTGTTGGTCACATTATTAGTATTACTTCAGCTTTAGACTGGCATTGGCTTATGCGGCTTCAGCTACGGCTCCCTGTACATTACTAGATATTCGACAAATGTTCGACAGATCTGACACTCAATCGTGCGAAATTGCCCGCATCCTACACAAAGTTGGAAAGTGTGTATCGACTATGCCATACCTTAAATTATTTGGACTGCAATTGCCTTGGACAAAATTAAACTGTATAACATAAAAACAAACATATTTTTGTCTGTGTATTTTTATTTTGGTTTCTTCCTTCCTCATATCTGCTCGTATGTACACTTTAATACAATGCGTCGTATTGATGCTTGCGTGTCGCTATTACCCATCATTGAGTGTTATGGGCTTCCAAGCTACGTGTTTATATCATCGCTTTCCCTACGACGCTGTCTAAGTCAATAGAATAGTTTTCAGTCTAGTCGCAATTTTGCTTCCGTAAAAAATAATCTACATATTTTTATTTAATAAAAAAAAAAGATTTTTCTTGGTTGTAGTTATTTTCATAGAAAGATTGTCAAAGTAGAACATTTGAATAAATTTTTTTTCCATTCTCAATCGGTAGCGAACATTGACGACCAGGTACTGGCTGGTACTCAGACAAAATAAATTTGTAAATCTATATAGAAAAATGGTTTTTCTATCAACAAAATCAATGCATTAAGTTTTCGGATGAAAGTTTCAGCAGAAATTATGAATAACTTCAAGTTGATTTTCATGATGCCCCATGAAAATTCATTTGTTCGATAGCAGTATCTCCTGTGCCACCCTATCTTTTGCTGTATGAAGCCATTAAGTTTTTAATCTTAATAATCTTATTATAACTAAACCTACGTTTGCACGGATTCTAATCATCGCTTATGTCCAGCTTCGTCTTGTTTCACTCGTTCACATACATACAGATAGCACATTCACTTGAAGTAAGAATGTGTACTGTGTGGATCAAAACAAGACTTTTTCCAGGGATTGGCAGCATAATAAGATATCGTGGAATATATCAACTATGAGGATAACCCTGCAGGAGAACGGAAGTTTGGTGCACTGCTAAATTACTCTAGTTACTCGCAGTCATGTTTCTCATTAAAGAGGAAAAGCCAAAGAGCTATCACGAACAAAGCGGTTGATATTCGTATGTTCCCACCCATCGAAAGTAATGCCATTGCATCCATCAGGGTTAATATTCACATCACAGCATTAGACCAACGAACTAAAATGCTGGTTTCTATGTTCATTCGTTTCGATCGCAGGCTGACAAGGAAATCTAGCCAATGTTTACTAACAAAAACGACCGGACTCATTACCTTGAAAAAAAGTAAATGTTGAGACTATTAATTCAGGAGTAATGTACATCGAATGACTCGTTAAGATGTTCGTCTGCCTAGTTAATTTCTGTTTAGAGAAAAATCCGTTTCCCAACAACTAATTTTGCTCTTCCTTCGTAGATTCTACTCTAAAATACGCCCTAGATGAACATTTCAACGAAGTGATTACTGAAAAGCATGTCTACTTTTTGCTTCAAACTTCAATTCACCTCTGCAAGTTTTTTATCGGAACGAACGACCGAAACGCCGCAATTTTTCCACTGATCCGCGCACTGTCTCAAGAACAGAAACATAAAAATGTGCTCTTCATGAAAAATGGCAATGGTAATAATTTATATATAAATATAAACAAATACGTATAATTATGAAAAATAAATTGCATTTTAGAATCTTTCCGAACGCACTAACAGAAAGTTGGATTTCCATACAATTGGCTAGCTCGTTCGTAGAGACTAGCCATCGGCGACCCAATTTTCGCTAGTCACAATGATAATGATGCATATAATTCCTAGAACGACAACGCAAAAAAAAATCCAACTCTTTACATTTCTCAAATTGTAGCCTTTAAACATAGTAGTTCGCTCCCAATATAGCAATGATATATTTTTTTACAAAACTATCTCATGTACATTTACTCTTGTTTGTAGCTAAACTGATGAACGTGAGGGACGCATCGAAGTTGACTAGGCCTCTCATATCGAACTTTATATGGAGCGTATTTCGATGCATACGACCGCTATTGACTATCACCAATCGCACTGATCGGGTTACCCGTTGCGAGAAGTTCACATTGTTGTTAACAATAATTGAACTGGCGAGATCCTTCCTCGTCTCGAAGATCCAACGTTTTGATGGTCGTGCCATGGTTTTTTGACTGCGATTTGTTCTTTAAGCGGAGGAGTTACCAGTCAGCTAATTTTTTGACTGACTGGAACGCCTAAATAAGCAGCATCTTCCCTAATATGCTAATATCCTCCACTTCTACATAAGCTGTTTGCATTGCAACACTATCAACTTTCAACGGGAAGACTACGGACTATACTTGTCGTTTCGTTAAATTCCACGACGGAGTTTTTTACTCTGTTGTCTGCGGCAGGTACTGAGGTTGTAGTCGGGCAATTGGCATACACAGACGATAACGGGGAGCTCGGCTCTGTCGATACCGGTATCGCATCCTGGATCGACACAAGCGTAATATATGAGAAAAATAAATGAACAGAGACAGCTTAATTAGAAACGGCTGTGGGTCCTAATTTCGTTGAAAGAAAATTAAGAAAAAACAAAAAAAACTCTGTCAAAAAAGGTTTTTCGAAAGCTCACAACATAAGTTGTTAATGCTAAGACTTGTCTAGACGACCATAACTCGATTTCTAACTAGCCTTTGAAATGAGCTTTTTCTATAAGTTTTCTTGTCGCAGCCACAACGGCAGCCGCACAGTATGTCGCTTGAAATTTTTTCATTGAGTGATTTTGTAGTACAGGCATAACAAAGGGCAGTGACTCAATCTTACCTTAAAAATGTCAGTTTGAAATTCGCCAAGCATCTTTTGAAGTTCGATGACCGCACCAGCTGATTTCCGCTGATGACCAGAAGATTCCAAATGGGGTCTCAATAAAGCATAGTACTCTTGACACAACTCACAGTACCTCTGTTTCGTATCCGCTATGCTTTTTCGTTTGCGAGAGTAATCTTGAGTCGCTGTAGAAGTACGCATTATGATTATTGTTTATCGCCGATGGCCTAGCTAACCCGCATGATCGTCAAGACAATTGGCATATAGCAATTAAATGTATGTTAATAACAAACCGCACGTCGAATTCAGCGCCATTGCTTTTGCAACTTACGATAGGTTCTATCGAGTCTTTGGTGTGATTTCGTTCGATCGCCGTCATTTTCTCTTAATCTTTTCTCCCCGGTACGATCTGTATGTTCCTTTAATCTCCGCTTTCGCGCGATACGCTCACATTCGTCTGCCGGAGTAAAAGGGCTTAGTGTGGCTCCAAGGCCGGACATCGGCGGCGATATCATCACTTGTGGCCACGTCTGCCTCTTCTGTATGAAAATCAGAACAGAATCGATATACGAATGCACAAAATTGCTATTCGAGTTAGTGCAAAGGCAATAGACATCGTATTCGAGTAAGCGCTTTGAATATTGTAATATTTTTATTGTATTTTGAATATTGTGGGGGGCAAATGTCACTAAACAGTTTGAGGTTCTTTAACTTACATCTATTAAAGTAACAAGAGAGCTGAATGAATTTAAACAAACAACAAAAAATAAGTGTAAGCCCTCACATTATCAAATAAGTTGTTTTCAAACAGATTTCTATTTCACTCTATATAAGACGCTCAAGCGGCACTTTAAGCGACTTAAAGTAATAGACTACAGCAGATGAGGCATTGGCAATTCCTTAGATAAGAGATTCGTGACCACGGACTTGATTTAAGTTAATATTATTTCTAAAGCTACAACTAAGAGAGAAAATAAATTAGAAGTATTGCTACTCAAGCTTTTAAGCTCACACCCACCGAAAAGGTCTTATAGACTGGCTTGTGCAGCTGCCGTACGTCTTCGAGTTTGATGAAATCATCGGAATCTATTCGAGTGGTCTTTCCTACATGGGATTCACTGACAGTTTTCCGAAGGAGAGCAGACGACGATGTCAACGCCTGGAAATTGGACCATAAAATGCTATATAATTCCCCCCAGATTTGTCTGCACCTTTTGCTAACATCTTAAAAGCTGTTGTGAGTTATAATAGAAGCTGTGAATTGGAAATTACTTTAATCACAAGAGTCAGTCGAGCTGCAATGCAAACCAGGATCTTAACTATGTCAGTAATATTGAAAACGTACCAATGTAATATACAATGTGAAGGAAAAAGTCGGCCTACAATAAAAAAGACTGAAGTATACAATTAAAAAAGTATTTATATTTTATCTACGAAAAAGCAAGATTATCGTTAAAGCAGCTTACCTATCAACTAGAGGCCTACTTTCTTTACCAATGGGAAGACTACTTTCTCCGCCTCTATTATTGCACTTTTCACTCAAACGTTTACCTCACCCTGTATATTAATATGACGATTTTTTTTGTTTTCTATTAACACCATTTTTTTATATACTACTTCACATACCTTCTTTTCTGACGTTGATGGCACAACGCCCTCGGGGTGGTATTTTTTTACCAATTTGGCGACGCTATTCTGGGCCGTCTTAACCGACAAAAGCGGTATATCCCATTGTCGACACTCCTGAGCTACGCTTTGGACCTCATCCTTGATCTTTGTCGTGGAGAGACTCCTGTTACCGCGCTCTTTAACTTCCCGACGTTGGGCCGCTTGTAACAGTGCCTGGGTCCTATTGAGAAACGGTGACCTCTGAAATATCAATGAGCCGGTCATTTTGATTGCTCTAAAATCAGATCCTGAGGCTAACCAGAACTCAACAGTAGGACTATTGTTGAATAATGATACCTTGCACGTTTACCTTACATACTGCGGCGGCCATCACATTTTACTAATAAAAAATTAAAAGCTAGAGAACGTTTCCAACGAACCTTTCCACCAGGGTTTGGTGATGAAGTACTGCTATTTTGCGATATCACCTTGGAAAGCAGGCCAATGCCACGTTTATCCTGGTCTCGCAGCTGCTTATCCGTAATTACACACCAAATGTCCTTGCTAAAGAACGTTTCGACCCGAGCCCCAAGTGACTCTAGTTGACGTCGAAGTAAAGTCGATGGGCTTTTTGTATCCATGAAAACCCTTTTGCCACGTAAAGGCAAAGGCGTTTTTACCGGAACCGACGCGTGGGCGACGGATGGCATCTGGATTATTAGGAAATTATTTACAAATGCATGCAAGCAACAAAACAAAAAGCCGAATAACACAAATGTACTATTATTCAGTTATATTGATTATTTCGTTCAGTATCTGGTTCCTGCTTAGGTCTATTTTCGATAAATGAGTTGTACGATATTACATTTTCTTTGCATCACATGGTAAGTCATAAGTAATCTAACTGGGCTTCCTTTACCATTGAATATTTGACTAATGGACCTATGTGCGAAATATAATGTCTAGTAATCAAAACGTAGATTTTCGTTTGTCCGACTCAACGAACGATAACGAGCACTTGAACTTAGAAACTTCAGAAGATCAGACTGGTACTCTTAAGTTCGTAAGCCCTCCTCCTATAACAAATGTTTTTGTCTCTTCAATCGAACCGTAAGATACGCGTGAGTCATTCAAAACGTAGCTCATTTAAAAAAAGAACATGACGTTTTTTAGTAAACTGCTAAACCATCGAGTTTCTGTGGTTTTCACTGTAACTCGCGCTTCAACAGTTGTTACGCATGATGTTATTCGTGCTAGAAGAATATAGCCATGTTCGTTTCAATAAGTAAGAGTAAGATAAAAAGTGAAATAAGTGGTGTAAGACATATCTGTAAACATGCAGTTTAATGCAAATGAAAATTATTGATGTCAACTAGTAATTAAAGTAAATTAGATAGTTAGAAGTTTATGATTGCACTCTTCTTGATCATATTAGTGTTTATCATTTTCAATAAATGCGACAACCACGACTAAGAGATGTACGGCAACGACGCGTAAACCAAAGCACTTCAATCATAGAATCAACCCTAATTTTTTGACATCATTGCACGCTGCTAATGAGAATATTACTATATCAGTCCAGATAGTTTGCCAACGCATCGTTTGTCCTGATCCTGCAGCTATTTGTCCGTAATCATATACCAAACATCCTCGCTAGAAAATGTTTCGGGCCAAGACCTAAGGTATTCCGATGTATGAAGGTACCATCTTTCATAAGGTGCCTTAACTTTATCACAATACATAAATTGACAAAGCATGCCTATATCTCTGCAGTTATAAAGGGAATAGCAGTCATATGAATGCCATTCGCACAGTTCAGCATCAGTTGATCGGGTACGACCAACCTATACACACCTTATACATCCTAACAGGCTGTTTTATTGGACTTATTATATATAGCACAGAGATAGATTGTGTATGAAAAACAATTGCTATTAGCTACATCGCACCGCTAAACATGCTGACTTCGAAACGGAAAGGAGAAGGCTTCAACCGAAGTGACTGGGCTTCCATGTCTCCTCTCGCGATCGAAGCGAAGGGAAGCCCACCGCGGACCATATTTGTCTACTGTCATGTCAAAGTACGTATAAATACCAAACTACTGCGAACGTAATCGAGGCAAGGAGACAGAATGGAGTCATTACAATTTCGAGGTATTGAATAACGGAAGCTGAATGGAAGCCTGATCGAATGCGAACACGCCGTGATATCTCTGCAGGGTGATAATTTTGCTACCAGAGCCGACCACTTCTTTTAATTAATTATGAAATGTTGTGTGTACATTAACCTAAATCAGTCTTAATTATGTAATTTACAATAAACTCTTCCAGCATTCAAATCCGTTTTGTTTCAATAATTTTTTTTAAGTAATTCGGTCTCACCCGGCCTACGTTTACATTGTTTACACACATATCGACAGAGACCTTACAGCTTAATCTTTTACTCCAATCTTCTATTTCAATCTGGGAATTTTAATTTTTCTATTTTTAGCGAGCTCCGCCCGACGGCTCTGCAAAACTTGTCGTGAGACGGTCTGATGCGCAATTTACCTTTACGCCCATGACCGACTTTCTGAATACAACGACAGAGAGAAGAAAGGCTATAGACTGTTTATGGGGTACTATGGAAGCTAGCTACAGTGAGTTTAACACAAAAAATTCGAATGCATTACAGCCTTGACCCAAAGTTATACCGGTACCAGGTAAGACCAAGAAGCGTATGGCGCACGTTCGCAGATTGCCGAAGGCAAAATGATATAAAGAGTCATACTCATATAAAAAATATAAATACGAAGTGCCAATTCAACACAAGAAACTCCGTATGTAAAGCTGTCGTCAGTCACGAGTTGAAAAGCAGTAGCCTTCAGAGGACGCAGCTTATGTAGTTTTTTGCGTAGATTTCCAAGTGAAGTGATACCGTATTAATGTATACGCATTGAAAAAGCGGAGGAATTCGGCAGCAGTTTAAGCTTGTGAAGTAGCGATTCGTATAATACGTAGGTATTGAAATTTTAACCATTCTCGATCGATGATGACTCTGTCAAAAAATTACAAGATGCAATTCATTAGGTCGCTGTAGTTCACTGACACGAAGTAGTTCAATGACAGTGATATCGATAGTGAATAAATAAATTCTGATGATAATATTTAGTAAATATATAGCAAACAAGTTCGATTTGTACGTGGTAGTAATGCTTAGTGGCAGTACAAGACGTAAAGCTCGAAACATTTATTTGATCGACATCGGCCAAAGATTTAAACATAGACAAATTACTTAAATCACGTCAATTATAGTTGTATTCTGTTTTTAACTTGAGCGCATATGTTGTTGTATTTGTGAGCAAGTTTTTATTTACTTCTATAAACAGGACAGAAACAAAGAGTTCTCGAATCTTAGCTATAAGTCAATCTGCACACAGGTCAAGTCTCAACGGAGCCCGCTTGAGTCTTTTGCGCTTTAGGACATCTCATCTTGTCCACTCAAATGCATCACGCGGCCGCTAATTAGAACGAAATAAGCTATCTGGGCATACACAGCTTTGATACCTATTACCGCTCCACGACGCTGACTACATTTACTGTGACTGAGATACATGCTGCCAATCTAACACAATAATATTCATTAATTGATTAACAATAATACATACTTTTTTTACATACAGAGCAACGGTTCCATCATGTCTTCCCGCCAATACGTGTCGGTAACGAGTCGCAACCCACGGCGGTAGTGAACTCCCTTATATAGATTTCTTAATTTTCTAGATTGACAAAGTTAGGGGGGTCAAAAAAGAAAAGGTAGAGGTGAGCATATGTATTGGTATCTGTAGGGGAAAGTGAAAATGTTAATTGGGTAGCATCAGCATGTAAATAGAAGAATTCATGTCAAATTATCTAGCTCGATAGTTTTAAAATCACCTAGTTCAGATCGCATGAGTCGCATGGGGTCATTGCTGATATCGTCTGAAAGCCCAGATTTGACAATATTACGTGTGATTTTTAGACAGATGTGCCATGTTGTTGGAATGCCTTCATTCGGACTCATGGTAGAGCGTCTTGCAGATAAGTGCAGTTCCTCTGAACATTTACTCTATTTCATAATCTAATTGTGCTAAAGGCTCAAATACTGCCTAGGCCCATAGACATTACGTTGTTTATGGCCACGATGCGTTATCGTAAGGTGGTTCTGTTGCTCGCAGTTCGGAAATTTCCATGTGAAACATGTTGCTCGTAGTGGTCCACTTACGAAGGAGGTTGAGAAAATTCTTGTAAGTTTCCATGACACTGCCTAGGAACCACCATCAAACACTTTTAAATAATTTAATAAAAGCTGGCTACAAAAAGGAGCTTGGTGTTTGGGTGCCACCTGATCAATCACAATCACGACGACAAAAAATAACTCGACGGTATTTTTATCTACGAAACTCTATAGAAACGCAAAGAAATCAGGAGCCATTTTTAAAGCAATTAATAGCGTCTGCTGAAAAGTATGTCACATGTGACAGCAAGGTGTAGAAAAATGCCCGATAATTGGTGGCAAGGCTCGAACTGAGGCCAAAGAACGTGCTGTTATGTTTTTGGTGATATTGGAAAAAAATCTTTAAAGAAAACTCTTGATTTAAGCCTCTTTTGCCAACAGTTAACAAGATTAGAAATCAAAAAGGTAGACGAAAACTAAAAAGACGTCGATTTCGACAATGACAATGCCAGACCACATACATATTTAATCCCGACAAACATTAAGAAAACTTGAACGGGAAATTTTAATACATCAGCCGTGTGGTGCGAATCTTACAATATCAGACAATAACATGCTTTGGCTTCCACATAATTCTCTTAATGGAGTTAACTTTGTTTCAATCAAGTCTTTAAAAATCACTCGTTATAATTTTTCGCCGAAAAACCATTGACACTCTATAGTGATGCGAATACAGTGGTAGCTGAGTGGTGCATATTTAATCAAGTATTATTCTTTTAGAATAAAATATTTGTTTCAGTTTGGCTCGAAAAGCATCGATACTTTTTCAACCTTCATTCAATATATATATATATGCATAGACGCGTGGTGTACCTAACCATAATAATGCTCATCTCATAGAAAAAAATTTTACGGAGATGATGATGCGTAATAAATGAGCATGTGCATGACAGCATCGCTAATCACAGACACAATATTCTATTGCCCCACGAAGCAAGCTTTTTTTGAATAACGAGAACTGCTACATAAATTACTGTCAGCTCTGAAGATTTCCCATGTACACATTGAGATCGCGTGTGGATTCCTTAAAAAGCATGATGCAAGCCTCTAAAAAGAATTAGTGATTTATCACGAACAAGCACGCACATGCATGTACGATTTATAAACAAAAATATCTACAGTTCACCTCTAGTGGGTACTGAAAAGCTATAAACTCTGATATGATGGTGGACCAGCGCTGTGAGTTACCTTTCATTTAGCACCTGGATGTTGAAAATGTGGGTGCATATCACACATCACTGTGTAAGCCACGACCCGTATCTCGTAGATGAGTGGCACAAGTACCTCCCAAACGAAAAATTTTTTTTCACGTTTACGCATATATTTGTATTTGTCATAGACCGACAGCGAGCTCAGCGCAGCAAGGGTCAACCGAGGACATACGAAACTAGTGACTGCCAGAATGCTCAACCGTCTCCTGCTACAGTTCGGCTATACATTCGATAAACCACTATGTCAAACCATTGTCAAACCTACCTTCTTTCTCTACATGGGTATCCAGTTGTCAAATGTGAACGATTTCGCTGAAACTACAAGAAATCCGTACGCCGCAATCGTCGTCCACCGATTAACTCAACCGCCACAGAATTTTCCGTTGGATGTGAGACGAAACGACGACGACAACAACAACAACAACAGCAGCAACAACGACAACAATAGCGGCAGCAGCAGCAACAACAACAACAACAACAGCAGCAGCAACAAACAATTTCGTACCACAATCTAGTTGTGATTTTTCGATTGAAGAAGCAGTCAATCTGCCTCCACAGAGGGCCACTACCACTATATACCTGACTAAAAAGTGTTCTTTTGTTTTATTGTGACGTTAGTGAATGTATTTGAATGCAATCTGCATTTAAAAAACGCCAAACATCCGCATCAAACAGAATTGAACTTGTTGCTGTGGTACGCTCGATATTATAGGTACTGGGTTTGTGGTACAATGTTATCGGCGCTTTCCCTTGCTTCTCATCGACACAGAAATGCAGTCGGTTGTTTTTGGTTTGTATCTAGGTTTTTATCGTTTTCGTCATCGACCACTCACGTGGACTCCAAAATAGTACGGACTGAGTGAACTGTGTGAATAGGAATGGCACGGCACGCAGCTGCCCGTCAAGCGCGAGCCTCGTAGAGGATCGTGAGTGGAGCAACGGCAGTCTACTGAGGCGCGGGCGTTTCGCACATACAATGACTTGTCTGTCCTCCCCGTACGTATATGTATATGGTACAGAGTAGTCTGTTCATTTAGAATCGGTGATTTCGAGTGGGGCAGCTAGTCCATCGACAGCTGTGGCGGTATTGGCCGAGATTGTGGCAGAGCGAACAAGATGTTGGACTTGTTGGCGCTGTTGTTAATGTGCGCGTGAATGTCAATCGACATCACCTTTAAGGTTGAGAATTTGTTTTTCTGTTGTCAAGAAAAAAATTGAAAAAGTTTGCAGAGAACGAAATTATATAGTAGCATGATTATTGATCTTTTAGAGCGCGTATGGTTCTCGGCTAACTGATATAGGGTTGAGGATGACTTTCATTTAAATAAGGGACAGATATGGTCGAATCATCGCAAAATCAGTGAAGGAAAATCTATAATATGCACAGATAATTGTCTTTAAAATTTGATTATAGTGGAAAGAAGTTTCCATTATGCGTGCCCTTAAAAAAGTTGCATCGAACATTTCTTCCTGCTTCGGAAAACGTTTTCATGCTGCTGGTACAGAGAAGACGAGAATTAACCGTAGTTGGCATGGAAACGATGGTACCACTGATAAAGCTAACTCGCCTTCGCAACACTAATTATTTCCATATAGTATATCGGCATACCGAAATAGCGTCAGAAAATTTTCCCCAGACTAGTTTGCGCGTCTCGATCAGTTACTGAGGGCATACCTTGCGCCATTTAACGACAAGATTGTTTATGGCCTTTTGTGGATATTGACGACTAAAGGTAACTCAAGGTAACTTACTAGTAGGTGGATATGTATTGTTTAACAGAGTCTTTACGTGCAGATGTTACAGTGGTTGTACTATATAGCGATAGTTCAACCATAAAGATAATGCTGTGTCTTTTCGGATAGACGTTGTAGATCCGTAGATGTAACTGAAGAATGTCCTTGATAATAATCACAAGCAGATTTTCTGTCAAGGTTTAAACAAAACGGTATTCACATTTTGGAGGAAGTCCGTCTGATATCGTTACAGTCAAGCGTGCAATTTACGTGGACAGTGTATGTTTGACTAGGTGTTGTTTTGCATTCGCACATTCTTTTCAATTCAGTCATAATTAGAAAGCATTTTTATATTGGAAAAGTTGCCAGCTGCTTTAACGGTATGATGCAGTATGCACTGCGTAATGGGAACGTATTGATATCAGTGTGTACGAACTATGATTTGTATGTCTAACTTGGATATATCTCTATACATGCCAAAATATACAATAACAATAGAGAATAGTATAATCGACTAGTGAATAACTGCAACGTCGGCAGTAAGCCAGTTAGGTCGATAGAGCCAAAGCATTTTCAATGTAACAACGCTGCGATCTCGGTCGACCTTTAATGTCATGTGTGGATATGTGCTATTCACTGCTACCGGTAACTATGTACCGTCGTACGGTCACTACATAGCGTTGCTAATAAACAGAAAATTGACTTCCTGTGAACAAATTAATTAAATATTGATATATTGCCTGCTACCAGTGCAAATCACGATGCACTAGTAAACAGGACACGGTATATTTGGTCATTACATATCCGTCTACGTCAGTACTCGAATGCATCAATATTGCTTCGCCTTACACCGACGACAGGATGCCTACAATAATTCCAATAATGACAAGTGATTTACACCACTGCTGCATTAATTATAGCTACAAAGTTAACAGCTGTAAGATTTCGCGTGTACGTCATGTGTTTTGTTTAGTTTTTAGAAGAAGGCTCCTACCTTGAAAATAAAATTCCGGCCAATATAAATTAGACCGTTTCCAAGGATATATGTATTCATACAACTTCGGGTAAACGTTTTTTAACAGTTTGATAATGGCGACTTACATTTGTACAATATATATGTATTATACAAGAAACGATGCTGGTTCCCAGTGTGGCAAGAGTGTCTATGCCCGCCTTCGAACCCAGGCCACAATGTGCTTCTTCTAGGATTAGCAGGCAAAAACGCCATCTACAAAGCTATCTTGGGGACACCTCAGTTCCACCTGTCCAAAGACTGCAGTTTTGAAGGTAAACTGAAAGAAATTTATTTGATTGAGTTATATTGATTACGCTGGGCGTCGTATGGGGCAGGATGAGATAAGGCAATATAGGTCACTGCATCTCAAGCATGTATTAACTTCGGGCGCCGTCGATGCTAATCCTAACGTAAAAATTAAAAGAGCTAGTAGCCTCAATGTGCAAATCAGCTTTGTTGAAATGCGTATATGGATGCATATGGTAATGTAAATAAAAGTATTATAATTACTGCACATGTTTTTGTTGTCAACAGTGTGTCATTATGTGGTGGTTGCTTTATTGGCATAATGCTTCGCTTGGGAAACGTTCACTTTACAATTGCAATATTTTTAACGTGTTGCGAACGAGTATGATTGTAGATCAAATTTACGACTCCAGAATTATTCACCTTCATTCATAGAACCATATGTAACTACAACTAATTATTAACAGGCTGCTCTCCTATCAAGCAAGATGCAACTAGCGGTTGTGCCGGTACCTGGGCCATCCACAAGCCGGCTTCATAATCCGCAGCCGAATTTAATGTGGACTTGTGCAAGAGGGAACTTAATATTTGAATTGTTTAATTTTGCAGTGAATGATTATAATTGTTTGTATGATTTGGTTGAATGACTAATTTATTTGCACGAAATGATGAGCTTCTCAATTTACATTCTCTACTGTACGATTTTTTGCTCATCCGGGCTCACATAGTCCTGTGCCAGCGAGGCTAAGGTCAACAGGACTGTTGTCTGAAATTTGGGGCTAGGATCTTTGTTCTAAAGGGCACCGCTCATTTTTCTGAACTTTCGCAACGTTAGTATACGTATGATCATGATGATCGCGCGTGAAAATGTGTATTTTCGCGAATTTTGGAATGTCGCGTAACTGAGAAAAATATCACTCGAAAAAATTGCTCTAGACTTATACTGTGGCAATAGAATTCTAGCTCTAATACTTAGCTCATTTTCTTAAACTTTGAACGTGGAAATCGTCTTTTTCATAGCTGGCCTTTCTTGTTGCACATCGTTTACGAAGTGGACGAAGCTTAAAGATCTTGAGCAAATGTTCTCCGACTAGTAACTGAGTGTTGTCAACGCTTTTGAAATCGTCTGAGGTTACAACTTACCAAATTCAGTAGAATATTACAGGCAAAATCACCTATATCCGAAGCGTATCGTTGGTAATTTACGTGCATTGGATCTGATCGGGTAGACGATAACTTTTCCACCTTTTGCTTTCGTACATAGTCCTCACTGTTGATTTTAATATCTTCTGAAAATGAAAAAATAATTATCTCATCCAAGGCAATTATATGTAAAACACAGTCAGTTAGATTGTCATTAAGTTCAAGCTAATGGACGCTCAGGTTCATTTAACCTGAAATTAGGCTCAATCGATGTAAAATCGAACTTTTGCGTTTACTGAACATTTTCAGTTTCAGCTATTCGTTTTCAGGTGATCTTATATGCTCTCTTATTTAGCTCTGTCAACTGCTTTGCCAGATAAACATAAATTCTAACCAGCTTTACGTGATATATCTACATATCATTGTTGGTTTAGGTCAAGTGTCTGCCAGCCAATTCTCCGCTGTGATCTGCACTAATTCTCCATGTTCTGCGCCGTGCCGCCTCTCCACAGCTCTTCAAGTGACAGACAAATTTTTTTCTCTTGACCGGCCAAATTCTGCTAAATTTCAAAGTAAAATGACAAAAAAAGGTATTTTATTTAAGATCGGTACTCGCGAATCTGCATTGGCCATGGTACAAGCGAATTCCGTTAAAGAACAACTAAAGACTCTGTTCCCGGAAAATGAATTCGAAATCGTTGGAATGACGACCAAGGGTGATAAGAACCTCAACATGGCCCTGCCAAAAATGGGTAAGTTATTACATGCCTGCTTCACCTTTGCGCGCCTTTATTTTGATTTAATGGTCATTAAGATATGTGTCGATTATGAATCATAGCTGAAGTAAAAAGTAGCAAAGAGCACTAACTCTAAACTTCTGTTCAAGTTGTTATTCTGTCGATGTAGTTACATGCGGTTTCTCATACCGTGTCATAAGCTTGTTTGAATAATACGAACTCCGCAATGGCAGAGTGCCCTTGCATGTTGCTAGCTTCAACTCGTCGCGCATTTTTGTCCATGTAGATCATACAACTGTACGTCAGAAGATGAATGCGTTAACGGTAGGTTTTCAACGTGCGGATTGGTTCAACTGCTTGACTGACAGCAGGTTTACTAGCAGTGTTGAAAACATGTTTTCTGATGCTGGGTCTTACACCTCAGACCCCATGGGTCAGCCTTAGCGTCATTACCGTACACAGTGTAGGTGCAATATCGTAGTCTAAACCTAAATATTTCAAGTTTTACTTCCGATACTGCCAGTACTGTAGCTAAGGATTTTTCGGATAGGGATCTGGATATGCGACGAGTTGACGTCATGTATAAAACGTACAGCATCTATGAATGACTCCTCGGGAGTAGTAAATGGCAGTTGCAAAAGGCTGTTAGCTTTGTGGATGAATGGTGTAACATTACTACAGTGAAGGCACCTATCCCTAAGTTTACTAAAAACAGTAGCAGAGGCTTCCAGAAGCTCACTTTCTGAAATGGTTAAACATGGCATCAGTTTTTAGCGATCTCGGAGTCATATTCGACCGCCTCATTTAGTTCACAGCACAAATTGCAGAAGTTGAATCAGCTTCATGTCTTTGTAAATTGCTTCTGAGGACTTCAATAAGACGAGATGCTTGTCTGTATTTCAGGCTGTACGAAGCTTACGTGGTTTTTAACGGACATACTGTTTGCACGTTTGGATTGCCATTTGTCGACGGTAGATTTAGTTCCCTTGTTGTGCATGTTCAAGCTATGTATATAGAACGTAAATCCGCATAACTCTGGCTTTCTTTTCTCTATTAGCGCTTCGGCAAAATGTTGGCAGCCGAAACTGTTCGGTAGTTCTTGATATTTCATCTGCAAAGGAGATTTCCTACCTATATCAATTTAGAACACCACGGCTCTGTGTGCAACCAAAGGGAGCATTTTGCTTGGGGAACAAGTGCATATACTTGGGGTAGCTGTGTCCGTCACCACGTAATGCTGTCATCTTTTTTCACACGATGACTCTTACACAATAAGATCAATAGGTAAATATGAAACCACTAGGGCTTTGCGTCTGTGAAACAGATAGATACAAGCGGGCTGTCTGCTCTAATATTTTATTAAAACGACAGATTGAAACTGAGTACCAGTCTATATGGCTAAGGAATCGAGTGAAAAACGTTGGATTGTTTGAAATCTCAAATTAAATATTTATTTAGAGTAACCTGTATAGTTGTTACGTTCTATTGTTTTAGACACTCTTTAATTTAATAAATATTTCAATTATTGGGGGACGGGTGTGGAGTTCTCCATGGGACTACATAAATTATTAGGTGTTCGACTGCGTTCTTTCCGTTTTTTCCGTGGGGGTGTAAATACGGGGAATCTTCCTTGTTTTCACATAATAACGAATAGAGGTTTTTTTCAAAAGTTGGCATGGAAAGTTCTCACGCTAGGATATTGGACAGCAACTTCAATTCAAAACTTATGATGACGTTGATACGGCAAGAAGGTCAAGCTTCACATTCGTATCTAAAAAATTTTAAGACCTAATATTCAGTGGTACTTAATAATCAACGGAGTTACAAAGGTTTTACGGAAGTGTATACGACGAAAGAGATTAAAAAGAAATAAATAATCATAATAGCAGTCGCAGTAACAATAGCCACTATACAAGAACGAAAATACCGTCGGATTCGACACATATCATATAAATTGAACAGTCTGTAATCAAATCTTGAAATCGTGCTGTTTTACAACACACATATTCCTTATATAACTGTATTAACATCAGTTGCTATATTCTATAAAAGTCTATTTTAGATAATTTTTACTCAGGTTTAACATCTGCGTACAGGTAAGACCGAAATATCCAGGAATTCTACTACAGGTTTGTTTATATCTGTTTAAGCAAATACAAAATCATAATTAATCCTGTTCCAGTTTCCGCCGGCATCGTACAACTGACTATGACATCAGATTCGTGTTTATGAGTGAGTTTGTCTTCCACACTATACCACCTGTATCGCCTGCAAGATGTTCAAGGTGTCTCTTCGAAGCAAGCCGCGCTGCTTCAACCACAATAGTTTGGAAGCGTTGCGTAATGAATCCGCGAAACAAAAAAAAAGCCGTTCAATACCAAGACACTTTGTCTCGTGATTTTTATGTGCCAAGCAACAAAACTACGCACGAATTCGCTCATTTCGACTTATACCTTGTTCGTGTTAATGAGATTTCAAAATTACATGAAGGGCCAATAAAGGTTCAAGCCAAATGTCATGTTCCTAAAGGTAGAGATACACCGAAGCTCAGCGACAACTCCTTTAAATAAGACTTTATTGTTACGTGGTGATGTAGAAGCCTTTACTGCGACATGCGGTCACACGGGAATCGATACATACACGTATTAGGTTTGTACTATATTAATAAATAAAACAAGGCTCTTGTATGGGTTTCGCGACGTTAACCTTCACCATTCTGTGCTCCGTATGGGTAACCACACAAGATGAATAAACACGTGTTTTAACGGAAGGTCGAAGTTACGGGAACGAGCAAATAGGGCTGATTTTATTATTCACCGTTTTCATTTCATTGGAATAATTTCGGTTCACTTTGCAAAGCTGTCATATGTATTGTATTATATATCAGTTTCATTGGGCCAACTTTTTTTCGGATGTACGCATTTCAAGTGTTCGAATTCTATCTGATAGAGGTTAATAATTGGGTTTGTGATTGATCGAAATGGCCAGGCAGATTCGTTGGCGTCGTTAATAGAGCAGTTTCGACTTTTTGACGATATTCGGGTGTTTTTTTAGGTATAAATATTACAATTGGGCTATTTATACAGATATATAAGCATTGTTTTCTTTGCTTTGTGCGTTGCCGACGTGTCGTGCAATTTGTAGGAGACAAATCGCTGTTTACAACTGAGCTGGAAGAGGCATTAATTGAGGGAACAGTTGATTTGGCTGTTCATTCTCTCAAGGACGTCCCTACGAAATTGCCCGAAAATCTTTGCATTGGTTAGTATATAGGAGATTTTACTGAAGGTGTTTTGTAAGTAAATAACACGTACTTCGCTAAATATTTAAAAAGTTGGAATCACGCAGATAAGTAATAGTTAAGTTGATGCCAAAATTTATAATTTTGTATTAATTCCGTAGTTTAGTAATAATTCCATTTCAAAAGAGCAAATGAAAAATGGAAAAAACGTCATAAGTGCATTTGAAGGCTAGTAGGCGAGCATAAATATACATTAGAGATACATAGAGAGATATACAAAAGCATTACAATAGCTGTATATACCAATATTGTAAAGGTACTGTTACTAATTGACTCTACACGATTCTAAATTCGTCGTATGCTTCAGGGGCAATCCTTGAACGTGAGGACCCGTCCGATGCCGTGGTATTTCCGATAGGAAGCAGTCTGACAAGTTTAGCTAAACTCAAGGCAGGGGTATGTTGTGGCTGCTGTTGCTGTCGATATCATTATCATGTCACACTAGTAATAGGTAAACAAACAGGAAAATTATTGCTATTGGTTCTATTTTAACGTTATTATTATCCTTATTGGTAGAGGTTTTCCTTCCTATAATATGAGAAGCCGTTAATACGGACGGTATAACTGATTTTAAATACGATTCTTAGTTATAAGAACAAATTAAATGCAATTTCACCTCGTTTGTTGTATTATCTCAGGCCAAAATAGGAACATCTTCACTGAGGCGCATTGCTCAGCTGAGACGAAAATACAAACATCTAGATTTTGTTTCGGTTCGGGGAAACCTTAACACGAGGCTAGATAAACTGGACAATAAAAAGGTAAAATTTTACCCAACACTACTACTAGCCCAACACGATTTCGTCTATGGAGTTATATGCGACTTACAATTATCGCCAAACACGGTCCACATAGAATTTTTGTTCGCACAGAAGGTCAGGCTTGCTTCTTTAATTCATCCTACCCTCTACCCCTAACTGTAAAACTTGGCTTAATCATAAAGTAACTTAAATTTATCTTGGAACTTATTTTATGAAATCGTTTAAATCAGGAAAAACTTAGTGTTTTTTTCACAATGCTCTAGGAGTTACTTCAAAATTTCAAATGCATTGGTTTAACTAATTTCGTTACACAACTGTTACGTTTCCTACGGCAGCAATATGACGCGTTGGTGCTTGCTGTCTCAGGTCTTCGTCGGCTAAATATGGCTGATCGTATCTCGTGCATATTGCCATCGGAGTTGTGCCTTTATGCTGTTGGCCAGGGCGCCCTAGCTGTCGAAATCCGTCGTAATGACGACGTTACCCAAAGCGTGGTCCAGGCTCTCAATAATCGGATGACTGCGCTTAGGTTTGAGCGTTATGTTTTTATTCAACATAATGGTGATGATTATTATTAGTATATATTACATATCAGTTTACTCCAAACACAGATTGCTTTTAGTATTATTTCTTGTTTAAGCCAAAAACGGCTATAGGGAACAGTAGTTCGCAGCTATAAAGTTTTGCATAGGTTTCGTGAACTAAAACTTACATTTACAACTACAGACACATAAATACTGATAAGTAAAAACCTGTGCTAGAGAAACTATTATAGTTTGCTACATCTGTGGTTGTTTTTGGATTTGGTGGTAAGTAAAGAAGAAAATGCAGCTTTAAATGCAAGTGTATTAGCAACGAATGTTAAAAATCGTTAACATCTTTTTAAACTATACAGCTCTGTTGACGGCTGTTTTCAGGTGTTTGGCTGAGCGCAACTTTATGATGACACTTGAAGGCGGATGCAGTGTCCCCTTGGGAGTGAGCTCCGCCCTGAGTGAATCCAGAATTTTGAGTCTCAAGGGTGGAGTATTTGCATTTGCTGGTGAGGAGTCAATCGTTGAGGAGAGCAAAGTTACCTTAACAATCTGCAGTCAGATGTAAGGCCTAACCTTAGCCATATGTACTAAGTTAGAAAGCAACAGCAGTCGTTTTCTATCGAATTTAACATATTCTACTAGCAATTAAAAGCATAGTATTTTTTGTGCTAATGTTTAATAAACTTGTATTATCTGGTTACGCATCTGAAGTCTAATTAACACTTGAAATATCATAAAAACGTAGCGTTCGGCACCGCTCAATCGTAAGCTTTTGAACTTAATTTTAATTAGTTTCAATACAATACATTCATGATACAGTTACCGAGCCCAATAAAGCTAGTATTTGGAATTAATCTTTATAGATTTCTATTGAACACCATATATAATATCTTGTTAAACGTTTCAAATCTCGTCTTTTAAAATTCTTAACGCACTTCGATGGCTCTAAGGATTTATTCGGTTGATTTCAGTCGTCAGCAAGAAATGCATGTAGGCATTTTATGTCCAGGACTTTGTGCCTCGGAAGTGAACGAAGCGGTTGCCCTCGGTGCTAACCTTGCTCAAAAGCTACTGCAAAAGGGAGCAAAGGAACTTTTAGAGAAGGCGCGTGAAGATGCAAGGCAGAGTATATTATAGCTAGAGGGAAAATCGAAAATCTCTATTGTCAACAAAACACTTAATTGCACTCTTTTAGTCGGTGCCGGATTTAAGGTCGAAAGCTCCGTGCAAAGTATGACTGCCATGTGAACAGAACAATAATTGTAGGTTAAAATTGAAACGGCGGGCACATACAACGTTGAGGAAGCGTTATCGACGATCAGGCTATAGACAGAAGACAACAAATTTACGTTAATGGGTAATATAGATTTGCTGTCTTGAAATACCCTTGTCTCAGAACCATAGTCCTTTCACAGCCAACGTTTGATGTCTTATTATCGATGAAAACAACTGTTTTTAAAGCCTATCATTGATTACTAGAGACAATGGTGGTCTATACTACTGTTGTCTATAAGAGGTACTTAAGCTTATGGGCATAACTGATGCTTTTCGAACGAAGGCATATGTTTCTCTTGTATGAGACAACTGACAGGCGAAATGCAGTGAGAATTCAGGGTTCGCAAAAAGCTGGCCGCTGATGCATTAATTTTCTGCCTGGTTGATTTGGCACGTGTGTAAAGTACAAACATTGTGAAGTTAACTTTTATGATTTGGTTTTACGTATGCAATCTTTAGAGTATCAGAGAAATAGCACAAAACAGGAAGACAGGCGATGATAATTATATCTGCAATATGTAAAAAGTTTTTAATTTAGCTCATATGTATGACGGCATTGGTGGGATTAATAGGTAGCAATGCGGTTGGTATCAAAATGAAGACTTTTTAAAAACACCTGTTACTGGCTTTTATAAATATGGATATTCAAATAAGCCGCAATATTTGTAAGAATATCACATAGCTATAAATCAAAGGTAAGCATTTTTCGGTGGGCAGAATAAAATATTTGTGAATGAACCTAAGTTTTCGAATTAAATAAAGGTGTAGTTTGGTATTTTTGAAGAAAACGGCAGCGCCAATTGACAAATCCCTCTAAGGTGTTTGCTTAGCTTATCAACTAAAACCTGCTCTATGCGTCTGATATAAACCTACTACACAAAATTGCATGTGAATCTCACAGTGGTTTGGGCCATCCAACTCATTTTGTGTTGAAATGCTGAGAACATTAAAGCGTACTTGAAAATCCAGATCTTGAAAATAAAGTGCAGCTGATAATTATTATAGAAAATGCTCAAATACGTTATAGCCGAATTAACATCTTAGAGAAAGGTAAAACAGGATATGCGATGAAACAGTGTACACCAATTGACCATAGTCATGATCGAATGTTGGATCCTTGGATCTTGACAGATCTGAGTTGCCTGGTGGGGGCATCACAGTTATTAGATCTATTCAAATTACCAAGTTTTCCAACAACGTACGGTTGATTGTGTGGGTACGTCTCTTTATTGGTAGTGTTATAAAGGCGTTGTTCATTGTAAAATGAACAACACCAATAATGTTGATAAAGTCACAATATTAATGAAAGAAGTACATTGGATGATTATAAACCTTTTTTATTCAACAAATAAATTTCGATATTTATATAGCAAATTTCACACTAATGCTTTCTAAAATATTTATCTATATAATATTTTAATGTTTTTCATACATAAACTGAATAACTTACTTAGGTATATCGACCTTGTCAGGTTATTAATTTTAGTAATAAAAAAAAAATTCCTTTTTGCTTTCAACCACAACGAAACCTTATGATTGTATGCCTTCATTGAATAAATAATTAATCATCCATAAAATATTTTCTCGTTTGTATTTCTGATTAAAATCGTAATAAACGACTTTTAACCCGTTGACTAGAGGTTAGTGGCCGGTTCAAAACAGGCTGAAATGTAAGAACGTCCTTCGATTCTTTGCTTATTTTTAACACGGCCCCTATGGTTCTGGTGAAGTTACTATTGGAATCCGTAAAATGCAATAGTTTGTTAGTTAACGTTCATTTAGACAAAGCTGATTTTTGCCAAGCAGCGGCTCTAGCTCGAAAGAAGTTTATCTCTGCCCAGATTTGAACCTGGGCAATCTCATGTGTCCCTACGTTAAGCACATTTGGGCGTTACCACTAAACTATTGCAAGTGCCAAAGTAGTTCACTTTTTTTTTACTTGGGTGTTACTCGGCGGCTAACGGTACCTAGTGTGAAATCTGGGAACTCACCAAACCCGTATTCCTTCTGCTTTATTCAAGAGCTGGGATTGTACAAGATTACTTATGTAGAGACAAATCTAATCTAGTCGATGTACAACTGTCTGTGCTCGTACACGATTTTTGCTACAAACAAAAATTATAGCCCAATTGAGTTTAGCTTCCTATTAGCGTCTTTATTATTTAACGTCTTCGATCATTTAATATAATACATATACCACATGTTAAAGCTCAACGTGTTGCAGCAGTCATAATTCAAAATTATAAATAGCTGTTTATAACCATTGTATATTTATTCGCATACTTTATCAAATATAATGTTAACGGGTTTTTTGTGCATTCGTTATTTGCGCCTTATGCAACTTGTAGCAGACTCTGTCAACGATAAGCACTTCATTATATTTCAGACAAGTGTAATGGGCTCCATTTGTTTCGCTTAATATCATTGGATGGGTTGTTTTATGTGACGTATCATATAGTCGTTTGCACAGCGATCAAGGATATGTTGGTTCTTCTTAGAGCTTAGCGAGCAATTCCTGAATAACAATCTATAGTTTTAACTTGTATAATAATTGATTTCGATTCCAATGTAGATTAGTATATTTGTAATTAATATCGACACTTCTGTGTTCATGTTAAGTATCTAGATAGATTGTGTTATACGCCAGCGGTGTACCTTCGACTGGATATCTCACAAAAACATTTCGAATAATAGTTTTTCATTAAAACGTTCAGGTCATACTCCTCTGGAGTCCCCGTAACATCCGAATATTTATGCAACACGACAGAGGACAGAGAAAGAAAACAAAGATGCAGCCAAACACTGCGTAGTAGAAAATAATTTCAACAATTAGATATGTTTTTCTTGAGCTCGTTTCTTGAAGCCTTCTGGACCAAATGCTGCCTTTGTTAACCGTAGTTTAAAATACTGAAACTGAAATAAAAGATTCTGAGAAATAAGACGAATGATTATACATACGAAAACCACAAACAGGTAGCGTAACGGAATTGAAACATTTTGACCACAACGGAGTTATTTGACTGAGTGACATGGAAGTTGGAGAGAAACATTTTGGATAAGCTAGGGTTGGTATGTCACTGCGACTTACTTAGTGGGTCAGACTAACATGACCCACGACGGGTTATATATATATATATATATATATTTATTATATATATACTCGCGTCAAAAAGCTTGTCTTTCGTGTTCCATGAAATAGTATTTAAATGCTTTCCTTAGACGGTTGAAGGTTGTCTGATTTTATCGGTAATTCGAATTTAATCAGCGGCATGTGAAGATACTTTCAAAACACTTAAAATGAAGTCATTCGCCGTAACGGCAGAGCTTCGAATAAAGCATACTTCAATATTTGTTTCTCGCTACTTAAAGAAACATTAACGAAAATTATCGAAGCGACACTGTGCCAGGGTCTCAAACCTAACAATATCAGACAACGTAACGCACAAATATTTTAAAAAAAAGCTATAGAGCCGACGATGAAAGAAAAACATTTTGCTAGACAAAAAAAACTCAAAACAAAGAAAAATAATAACGCAATTTATTGTTGTTATAACAGTCTTAGAGTGCTCGCTTTATTCGGTAATTGCACTTGTTAACATATAT